AGAAATGTTTTATCATATCTGTCAAAATTCATTAGACAAGCATTATCACAAATCTTTTTTAACAACACATCTCAGGTTATGCAGAAGATAAAAATCAGGCATCTTCATAATTTATTGGTTATCATGTAATGTCACTGAAAAGCAAAACCTAAATCACTTTTAAGATATTTACATTTGTCCCCCTGCAGGACAACTCTAAAGGGTTTGATTCCCTTTGACAGACACAGCAGATAGCCTAATGTGGCTTTGTTATAGGAAAATATATTTTCATTTAATAAGATTAATTATGAAGAACAGAAAAAAAAGAGATAAATAAACTCTGCATTCAACCTCATACATTTACCCATATTTTATAATTGCAAATATTTTTAACTGGCAATAATACAGTTACACTTACACAAAAGTTCCTGAGGTTAAAAGGTATTAAAACCTGATTGATTTCTAATTGTACGCACAATTACTGGAATCAGAATAAAATAACCTGAAAATAATTTACAGTTCATCATAAAATATTTTAGCAATTCAAACTTTTTATTTTCTTTAATCTTGAGGCTTTCATTTCTTGCAAAAAAGCTTTTGTACGATGAAAAGGCAGCTTCAATTGTATAATCAAAGAAATTTTAAAATTAACTTAATAATAAAAACAAAAAAAACCTTTAATTCTAGGTTCAGTTCCAGTTCTGCACTACTCTCAGAATTAATAACAACCATAAACTCAATAAAGATATAATTTTTAGGTTGAAGTTTCAACTTGCATTTTTCTAGGTTAACAATATAAATGATTGATTGTGTGATCTAAATAAAGAATATCCATATAACAATAAGCTGTAGAAAGTTTGTTTTGTCATGATTATCAATAAGCCAGTAATTATGTAAATATTCTTCCCTATTTATGGAATTTATATATAAACATTTGAATGTTTGTAAGTGGAGAACAAAACAAATCAAGTATTTCTAACACATGCTTGTTATAAATTTAAGAGATTAAAAACAATTAGTACAAGGGTTTGTAAGTTATACTTATTATACTGCTCAACAAAATTAAGGGAGCAAGAATGTAAGCAAGTATCAAAAACAAACTGATCAGTGTGAAGAGAATGTTAGTATATTTTGGAGACATTAGCAATCCACTGGATCATATACCATGAGACCAGGGCAGAGCCACACATGTGCCACAAGTCTAAGACGGGACTGCTACTTGGTGAACATAGGCATGGATGCTACAGAAATGTAACATTTCTCCCCAGTGTGTTTTCTTTGATTTTCTTTTAATTTCATGTTTCTTCTAAAGCATTTTCCACAAAATTGAACAACTGTATCGTTTTCAAAGAGGATTTATTCTATTATGTTTCCTTTAGTTATTACTTCCTACAAAATTATTTCCAGATGTGTTTTTTTGATGTCATTTTAAGTAATTTATTCTACCAAAGTGTTTTCCAGACACTGCACAACTGCAAGGTTTCTCCCATTGTGTGTTCTTAAATGACTTTTTAATTCACTGTTTGATTTAAATTGTTTTCCACAAACTTCACAACTGTATGGTTTCTCCCCAGTATGTATTCTTTGATGATTTTCTACACAATTTTTTGTGCCAAAGTGTTTTCCACATACTACACAACTGAAAGGTTTTTCCCCAGTGTGGGTTCTTTGATGTTTTCTTAATTCTGCATTTGTTGGAAACTTTTTTACACAAATTGCACAATTGTAAGGTTTCTCCCCAGTGTGTGTTCTGTGATGTCTTTTTATCTCTGAGGTTCTAGCAAACTGTTTTCCACAAAATGCACAACTGTAAGGTTTCTCCCCAGTGTGGGTTCTTTGATGTATTTTTAAATACGAGTTTCTCTGAAACTTTTTTTCACAAATTGCACAGTTGTAAGGTTTCTCCCCAGTGTGTTTTGTTTTATGATTTTTCAAGGCAAAATTTGATACAAACTGTTTTTTACAAATTGTACAACTGTAAGGTTTCTCCCCAGAGTGTGTTCTTAGATGATTTTTTAATGCATCCTTTGATATAAAATGTTTTTCACACACTGCACAACTATAAGGTTTCTCCCCAGTATGTATTCTTTGATGATTTTTTAAGATCGTACTTCCTGAAAAATGTTTACCACATATTGCACAACTGTAAGGTTTCTCACCAGTGTGTATTCTTTGATGTTCTTTTAACTCACTGTTTGTTCTAAATTCTTTTCCACAAACTGTACAACTGTAAGGTTTCTCCCCAGTGTGTGTTTTTAGATGATTTCTTAATGCATCCTTTGACATAAAATGTTTTTCACACACTGCACAACTATAAGGTTTCTGCCCAGTATGTATTCTTTGATGATTTTTTAAGATCGTACTTCCTGAAAAATGTTTACCACATATTGCACAACTGTAAGGTTTCTCACCAGTGTGTATTCTTTGATGTTCTTTTAACTCACTGTTTGTTCTAAATTCTTTTCCACAAACTGTACAACTGTAAGGTTTCTCCCCAGTGTGTGTTTTTAGATGATTTCTTAATGCATCCTTTGACATAAAATGTTTTTCACACACTGCACAACTATAAGGTTTCTGCCCAGTATGTATTCTTTGATGATTTTTTAAGATGGTACTTCCTGAAAAATGTTTACCACATATTGCACAACTGTAAGGTTTCTCACCAGTGTGTATTCTTTGATGATCTTTTAAAACACTGTTTCTTCTAAATTGTTTTCCACAAAATGTACAACTGTAAGGTTTCTCCCCAGTGTGTGTTCTGTGATGTTTTTTTATTTCTGAGGTTCTAGCAAACTGTTTTTCACAAACTGCACAACTGTAAGGTTTCTCTCCAGTATGGGTTATTTGATGTTTTTTCAAATACGAGTTTCTTTGAAACTTTTTTTCACAAATTGCACAGTTGTAAGGTTTCTCCCCAGTGTTTTTTGTTTTATGGTTTTCCAAGGCAGAGTTTGATCCAAATTGTTTTTTAGAAATTGTACAACTGTAAAGTTTCTCCCCAGTGTGTGTTTTTAGATGATTTCTTAATGCATCCTTTGACATAAAATGTTTTTCACACACTGCACAACTATAAGGTTTCTGCCCAGTATGTATTCTTTGATGATTTTTTAAGATGGTACTTCCTGAAAAATGTTTACCACATATTGCACAACTGTAAGGTTTCTCTCCAGTATGGGTTATTTGATGTTTTTTCAAATACGAGTTTCTTTGAAACTTTTTTTCACAAATTGCACAGTTGTAAGGTCTCTCCCCAGTGTTTTTTGTTTTATGGTTTTCCAAGGCAGAGTTTGATCCAAATTGTTTTTTAGAAATTGTACAACTGTAAGGTTTCTCCCCAGTGTGTTTGTTTTATGATTTTTCAAGGCAGAGTTTGATACAAACTGTTTTTTACAAATTGTACAACTGTAAGGTTTCTCCCCAGAGTGTGTTCTTAGATGATTTCTTAATGCATCCTTTGACATAAAATGTTTTTCACACACTGCACAACTATAAGGTTTCTCCCCAGTATGTATTCTTTGATGATTTTTTAAGATGGTACTTCCTGAAAAATGTTTACCACATACTGCACAACTGTAAGGTTTCTCACCAGTGTGTATTCTTTGATGTTCTTTTAACTCACTGTTTGTTCTAAATTGTTTTCCACAAACTGTACAACTGTAAGGTTTTTCACCCGTGTGTATTCCTTGATGTGATTTTAAGATACTCTTTGTACCAAAGTGTTTTCCACACACTAAACAACTGTATGGTTTCTCCCCTGTGTGCATTCTTAGATGTATTTTGAAAATACTCCTTGTTTCAAATTGTTTTTCACATACTGAACAACTGTAAGGTTTCTCCCTAATATATCGTCTTTGATGCCCTCTTAAATCACTATTTGTTCTAAATTGTTTTTCACATCTTGAACAACTGTAAGGTTTCTCCCCACTGTGTATTCTTTGATGTTCTTTTAAATCACCGTTTCTTCTAAACTGTTTTCCACAAACTGTACAACTGTAAGGTTTTTCACCCGTGTGTATTCCTTGATGTGATTTTAAGGCACCCTTTGTACCAAAGTGTTTTCCACACACTGTACAAGTGTAAGGTTTCTCCCCAGTGTGTATCCTTTGATGTGATTTTAAGTTACTGCTTGATCGAAACTGTTTTCTACAAACTCCACAACTGTAAGATTTCTCCCCAGGGTGATTTCTTTCATGTTCCTCTAAGGGACTATGTCTCTCCAAATGTTTTCCATAAACTGCACAATGATATGGTTTCTCTCCAGATTGAATCCTCTTTTCTTGTGTTAGGTTATCCACTGTTCCAAATTCTTTTCCATTGATTACACAACTGTATATTTTACCATTACACTGAGGTATATTAAATTTGTTTAGGTTATTTCCATTTAAAGTTGTTTCTCCACATATACCACTATTTGGTTTTGGGGAAGTAATATCTTCTATAAAGTAGTCTTCTTGTTTTATAACATGATTACCAGGACACTGACTCCCACAGCAGGTCTTCGTATCTAAAATACGATGCCACATCATAGTTAATAACATCTTTGATGAACTTCTAAATATATTTAATGTTCTAATATGATCAATATGAGTACCAATATGAAAATATTAAAGATAAAAACTAGTTATGATGCAGTTTTCATAGTTTTAAATTTTATAGAAACTTTTTATACTTTACTCAGAATAGCATTAAAAACAAACTGTAGGTAACATTACATTTTCAAAAGAGGTTTTCAGTGGATAAAATAAGATCATCTGAAGAAATATGATAGAAAAGTGTATCAACAATCAATGTACTTTTAGCTAGTATCTTTATAGATTAACTTTTAGAAATATTTTCTTACTTGAAGTGGTTAATTATCATCAAATCTTCTAATGATTAATTAACAATACTAATTTAAACATTAATAATAAAACTTTATACATTTCGTTCAAAAATTCTATATGCAAGTTATAAATAAATATTTATAAATGTCAAGTTTTAGACAATACTAAAATATTTATCAATATATTATTTTTCTTTATTTTTATCAAGTTTAGGTATGATCCCTCTGATTAAAAGCTATTTGATTACTTCTTTGGCATCATTCAATTCCCAGATTCTACAGGTATAGCAGTGTTCAGCAAGTCACATTTATGGAAATAAATGATAGAAATATATTCTCTGGACATGTTGATATTAATCTAGCAAAATTGGTTCCAGCCATTAGTCAGAAAGTATATATTTGAAGAACCAGGAGGATAGTGACTGGTCGGCTATAGTTTCTTTCTGTATCATTTTAT